AACCCACCAGAGGAGAGGCAAGTCTTGATTAAGTCCTAAATGGAGCAAGGATTTGGTCCAAGAAGTGAATATAGCTGGACAGCTTGGTAATAGTTACCATAACTTAATTAAATTTAACATCCCTGTAGTGGGGAAAACACCATAGCAGCCCAACACTGTAGCATTTAATTTCAGAAAGGGGGACTACACAAAAATGAGGAAGTTAAACAGAAATTAAAAAGTACAGCACCAAAAGTGAAATCCCTGCAACCTGCATGGAAACTTTTTAAAGACACCATAATAGAGACTCAACTTAAACATATACCCCAGATTAAAAAACATAGTAAGAGAACCAAAAAAAGTGCCACCATCGCTAAACAAAGTAAAAGAAGCAGTGAGAGACAAAAAGGCATCTTTTGAAAAGTAGAAGTTAAATCCTAGCATGGAAAAATAGAAAAGAGCATAAACTCTGGCAAGTGAAGTATAAAAATATAATCATTAGGAAGGCCAAAAAGAATTTGAAGAACAGCTAGCCAAAGACTCCAAAAGTAATAACAAAAAGCTTTTAAGTACATCAGAAGCAAAAACCCTGCTAAACAACCAGTGGACGATCGAGATGCTAAAGGAGCACTCAAGGATGATAAGGCCATTGTGGAGAAACTAAATGAATTCTTTGCATCGCTCTTCACAGTTGAGGATGTGAGGGAGATTCCCAAATCTGAGCCATTCTTTTAGGTGACAAATATGAGGAACTGTCCCAGATTGAGGTGTCATTAGAGTTGGTTTTGGAACAAATTGATAAATTAAACAGTAATAAGTCACCAGGAGCAGATGATATTCACCCAAGAGTTCTGAAGGAACTCAAATGTGAAATTGCAAAACTATTAACTGTGGTTTGTAACCTATCATTTAAATCAGCTTCTGTACCAAGTGACAGGAGGATAGCTAATGTGATGCCAAATTTTAAAAAGGGCTCCAGAGGTGATCCTGTCAATTATAGGCCAAAAAGCTTGACTTCAGTACCAGGCAAACTGGTTGAAACTATAATAAAGAATGGAATTGTCAGACACATAGATGAACATAATTTGTTGGGGGAAGAGTCAGCATGGTTTTTGTAAAGGGAAATCATGCCTCACCAATCTACTAGAATTCTCCGAGGGGGTCAACAAGCATGTGGACAAGGGGGATCTGATGGATATAGTGTACTTAAATGTTCAGAAAGCCTTTGACAAGGTCCCTCACCAAAGGCTCTTAAGCAAAGTAAGCTGCCTTGGGATAAGAGGGAGGGTCCTCTCATGGACTGGTTAAAAGACAGGAAACAAAGGGAAGGAATAAATGGTTAGTTTTCAGAATGGAGAGAGGTAAATAGTAGTGTCCCTCAGGAGTCTGTACTGGGACCAGTCCTATTCAACATATTCATAAGTGATCTGGAAAAGGGGGTAAACAGCGAAGTGGCAAAATTTGCAGATGATACAAAAACTACTCAAGATAGTTAAGTCCAAAGCAGACTGCGAAGAGCTACAAAGGGGTCTCACAAAACGGGGTGATTGGACAATCAAATTGAAGATGAAATTCAATGTTGATACATGCAAAGTAATGCACATTGGAAAACATAACCCCAACTGCACATATAAAATCATGGGGTCTAAACTAGCTATTACCACTCAAGAGAGAGATCTTGGAGTCATTGTGGACAGTTCTCTGAAAACATCCACTCAATGTGCAGCAGCAGTCAAAAAAGCTAACAACGTTAGGAACCTTTAGGAAAGGGATAGATAATACAACAGAAAATATCATAATGCCTCTTTATAAATCCATGGTACGCCCACATCTTGAATACTGTGGGCTCATCTGGTTGCTCCATCTCAAAAAAGATATATTAGAAATGGAAAAGGTACAAAGAAGGGCAACAAAATTGATTAGAAGCATTTGTGTTTTCTGATTAAGAATCAGAGCTATGTACAATGACTTCCTCTGATTTCCATCAAGAGCAACTGAAATGTCTGTCTGACTGTTACTCTGAAAATAAAACAGATCAGCTTTGTGGGAGAGTTAAGGAGATCAGCACTCAACAGGTCTCTTCTCCCAGAAACTGCTCTCTCCTGCCTCTCAGCTGGGTGACAAGGAGCTATTTACCCTCATGAAGTGCTTTGAGAGCCGTTTGTACCTCTGCTGGGCGCACAGGCTCTCAGCCACCCAGCTGCAGGGGGCACTTGGGAACCTCATCAGTCTCACCCTGTGCAAGGGTGCAGAGCAATGCTGACAGCTCTCCGGCTCCAGGACACGGAGCAGCCGTGGCCCACACAGCCAGGGAATTTACATTTCCTGGGGCCCAGGGGGGAGCTGTTGATCCAACTCCCGGGGGCCAGCCCTGTCAGCCACCAGCAACTTCTTACTCAGACCCCAGCTACCGGCTGCGGATTCCTCTGAGCGCAGAGCAACAGTTAGTTTTCCTGTTTGCACTCCACTGTGGTTAGAAACGGAGGGGGAGAAGCCCCCCGCCCACCTGACCTCCCTAAATGGTACCCCAGGCTGTTCCAATCTACAGGTGTGTGTTGGAAAACGACTACATTGGCAACAGACCAGCGGGGAGTGGGTGGGAATGGGGGAGTTCAGGTAGGAAAAGCCAGTTCCCTGAAGGGATCACTTCAAACCTACTTGTTACCATAGGTGCTGGAACTAGGGGTGCTGCTGCACGCTCTGGCTTGAAGTGGTTTCCATCATATACAGGGTTTACAGTTTGTTCAATGGTTCTCAGCACCCTCCCCTGTAAAAACTGTTCCAGCACCTCTGTTTGTTACCATTTGAATACTAATGACATGAAGCCATGTCTACACAGGGACAGGAAAGTTAAGGCACATCAACTTCAGATGTGAAGTCAAAGCACAAAAGTTAAAACTGAGTCACATCCTCGTGGCGGTTTGTCTCTCTCATCCTGAAGTTAAGCGCCGAGGAGGAGAATTAAGTTATGGCAAACTAAGGCCACTTAACTCCTGCTTTCTCTCAGGAGTAAACATGCTTTAATTTAAGGATTGTCCACATGGTGCTGCAGTGCATAAATGATAGCGCACAGTAACATGTTATGCTCTAACTGCCACCGGTAGACTCTGCTGGCACTGACTAAATGTGCTGTGTAGTCCCATTTCGAGAAGGACTATGTTAATGCATGGTGGATGCCTTTTAGTTCACGCCAGCCAGGTCTACATGGGGCAGTCAGAACTCTACAGGTCAGCACGGGCTACAATTCATGGCCCCTGGTGCCAGGTAGACAAGTCCCACTCACACTGACTTCACCCTTCAGGTGACTGGCCTTAACTTTCCAAGCATCCAAGCCCTATGCAAGGCAGCCTCAGAAAAGCAGCTAAACCTTCCCCTGCAACTCCCCTAATCTCACAAATGCATCAGGCCTAGCTTGGTTCACAGGATGGAGACCTGTACGAACATCCTACATGTATATGTACGAAACTCCTTCAACCCAGGTACCATGAACATAAGCTGATATGCAAACTTTGAGCGGAGATCACTTATCCACCATGACAATCCAGCCACTGCTGGGGTGGAACGTGGCAGCTCTTGAGTTTATCATCATTATGCAGTCCAGAGAACACAATCGTTTACAACAGGAAGACAGAGAGAACAGGAGATAAAACCACAACAGCAGAACACAGCATGGCTACGTTCACATTAGCCAGTTGTCTGACTAGAAATACCCAGCACAATGGGACCCCAACCGGGGCATTTCAGCACTAAAATTTACTAGCAGTAAATGTTCTACAATATGAACTTGGAATGAGAGGATCCCACTTTATCAATCTCACATCAAGACGTCTTGGCCCACCAGGCTTTGTTACTTAAAAATTAGAATCGGAGGCGAGGTTAAATGAGACAGGCAGTAGATCTCTAAACATGAATTTTGCTGTTTTTTTAAAAACATAACACATTAATGTTATTACTGCTAATTTTCAAAGGAACATCTCCGTGCCCAAGGGCAGTGTTTTTCAAAGTACTGGCTATGTAAGGCACTGAGTCGCCTTGCTCAGCGCCCAGGGACCCTAGCGGCTCTGGTCAGCACCGCCAACTGGGACATAAGAAGTCCCATCAGCGGTGCTGCCTGGCTAAGGCAGGCTAGTGCCTACCTGTTCCGACACCACACTGCACCCCGGAAGCGGCCAGCAGCGGGTCCAGCTTCTAGGCAGGGAGGCGACGGGGCTCTGCTGTGCGGAGACGCTTGCACGCCTCTGCCTAGGAGCCGAGCCTGCTGTTGGCCGCTTCCGGGGCACAATGTGGTCCATGGTGCCAGGACAGGCAAAAAGCCTGCCTCTGCACCCCAGCTGCGCTACTGAACGGGAGCTGCCAGGGTAAATCCATGCCCCAACCTTGTGCCCCCCCAAACCCCTCATCCCCAGCCCCACCCCAGAGCCTGCACCTCCAGCCCAGAGCCCTGACCCCCTTCTGCAGCCAACCCCCCGCCCTAGCCCTGACCCCCCCAACCCAGAACCCCTTCCTGCACCCTAAACCCCTCATCCTCATCCCCACCCCAGAGCCTGCACCCCCAGCCCAGACCCCCTCCTGCAACCCAACCCCAGCCCTCCCAAATCCAGAACCCCTTCCTGCACCCCAATACCCTCATCCACATCCCCACCCCACAGCCTGCACCCCCAGTCCAGAGCCCTGACCCACTCCTTCACCCCAACCCCCTGCCCCAGCCCAGAGCGCCCCCCGCAAACCCCTCATCCCCAGCTCCATTGGGTCGCGGACTTCAACAACTTTCTTAAACTGGGTCCCCTGAAAAAAAAGTTTGAAAACCACCGAGCTAGTGTAGATGAGGCTCCAGTGTCTACCCCTGCCCACAGCAGCTCTTACTCCACTGCAGTGGGAACAGAGCTTACTGCCATCTGGGGCAAACACTGCCCCCACCCACACCCGGGCAGGCAAGGGGCATTCTCCCCTTTTGTCCACACCAGCGGGAAGGAAAGGTCTCCCTCGCCTCTCTCCAGCTGCGGCCCAGATGTGTTTCTTACCCAGTCACCTCCGGAGAGACTCTCAGGGCTTGTCTACACGAGGTGGAGGTACAGCCAGGGCAGGAATGACCGCAGCGCTCACAGCCCCTTCGCTGGGGGGGGCCCTGACAGCTGGGTCCCCCCGCCCCAGCTCTAGCGGCCGCTCTCCCGCCCAGGCGCCCCGCAGCCGCACGTGTCTCTCCGCGCCCCCGCCAGGCGGGAAGGCTCCGGCTGCGTGGCCCGGGGCGGGGGCGCCGGAGCGGGACACTCACCCCACGCGGCAGCCGCTCTCCCGGGCAGGCTCACAAAGCGCAGCGCGCCTCGCCCGATCCGAATCTGCCGCGGGCAGAGCCGCGCAGGCGCAGTAACAGCTGCCGAAGCGGCGGCCCGGACCTTCCCCACCCCCTGCTCAGCTACCAGCTGTGGCTGCTCCACGTGGGACGGGACGGAAGGGGGCGGGGCCTCTGGTATTGGCCGCTGGGGGTACCGTACAGAGGGCGGGGGGAGTTTGGGGTACAGAAGAGGAGAGTGGGGGCACCGCACAGAGCTGGGGGAGAGTTTGGGGTACAGAGGAGGGGTTGGGGGCAGCCTGGAGAGTGCTGGGAAAGTTTGGGGTACAGAGGAGGAGGGTGGGGGAGAGTTTGGGGTACAGAGGAGGAGAGTGGGGGCACCGCACAGAGCGGGGGGAGAGGGTGGGATACAGAGGAGGAGGTTGGGGACAGCCTGGAGAGTGCTGGGAAAGTTTGGGGTACAGAGAAGGAGGGTGGGGGCACCGCACAGAGCTGGGGGAGAGTTTGGGGTACAGAGGAGGGGTTGGGGGCAGCCTGGAGAGTGCTGGGAAAGTTTGGGGTACAGAGGAGGAGGGTGGGGGAGAGTTTGGGGTACAGAGGAGGAGAGTGGGGGCACCGCACAGAGCGGGGGGAGAGGGTGGGATACAGAGGAGGAGGTTGGGGACAGCCTGGAGAGTGCTGGGAAAGTTTGGGGTACAGAGAAGGAGGGTGGGGGGCACCGCACAGAGCTGGGGGAGAGTTTGGGGTACAGAGGAGGGGTTGGGGGCAGCCTGGAGAGTGCTGGGAGAGTTTGGGATACAGAGGAGGAGGGTGGGGGCACAGCATGGAGAGTGGATGAATAATTTGGGGGTACAGCACAGAGAGTGCGGTGCCCCCACTCTCCTCCTCTGTACCCCAAACTGTCTCCCACCCTCCTCCTCTGTACCCCAAACTCTCCCAGCACTCTCCAGGCTGCCCCCAACCCCTCCTCTGTACCCCAAACTCCCCACAGCTCTGTGCGGTGCCCCCACTCTCCTCTTCTGTACCCCAAACTTTCCCAGCACTCTCCGGGGGGAGAGGGGGGAGAGGGTGGGATACAGAGGAGGAGGTTGGGGACAGCCTGGAGAGTGCTGGGAAAGTTTGGGGTACAGAAGAGGAGAGTGGGGGCACCGCACAGAGCGGTGGGGAGTTTGGGGTACAGAGGAGGGGTTGGGGGCAGCCTGGAGAGTGCTGGGAGAGTTTGGGGTACAGAGGAGGAGGGTGGGGGCACCGCACAGAGTGGTGGGGAGTTTGGGGTACAGAGGAGGGGTTGGGGGCAGCCTGGAGAGTGCTGGGAGAGTTTGGGATACAGAGGAGGAGGGTGGGGGCACAGCATGGAGAGTGGATGAATAATTTGGGGGTACAGCACAGAAAGTGCTGGGAGAGAGGAGGAGGAACATGGCACAGGCTCAGAATGGTTCATCTCTGCTGCTCTCAGTCTGTGCTTGCTCCAAGTCCCAGGCCTGTCAGCTGCTCCCAAGCATCCTCAGCGGGTCTGACTTAAAGCCCAGTGACCATAATGTGAATCTCAACTATTTCAACTATCCTTGCAACAAAGCCCGTTGCCAACTGTGCCCACATATCTATTCAGGGGACACCATCACAGGGCCTAATAACATCAGCCACACTATCAGAGGTTTCAGAGGAACAGCCGTGTTAGTCTGTATTCGCAAAAAGAAAAGGAGTACTTGTGGCACCTTAGAGACTAACGAATTTATTTGAGCATGAGCTTTCGTGAGCTACAGCTCACTTCATCAGATGTTTACCGTGGAAACTGCAGCAGACTTTATATACACACAGAGGCTCGTTTACCTGCACATCCACCAATGTGATATATGCCATCATGTGCCAGCAATGCCCCTCTGCCATTTACATTGGTCAAACTGGACAGTCTCTACGTAAAAGAATAAATGGACACAAATCAGGTGTCAAGAATTATAACATTCATAAACCAGTCGGAGAACACTTCAATCTCTCTGGTCACGCAATCACAGACATGAAGGTCGCTATCTTAAAACAAAAAAACTTCAAATCCAGACTCCAGCGAGAAACTGCTGAATTGGAATTCATTTGCAAATTGGATACTATTAATTTAGGCTTAAATAGAGACTGAGAGTGGCTAAGTCATTATGCAAGGTAGCCTATTTCCCCTTGTTTTTTCCTACCCCCCCCCCCAGACGTTCTGGTTAAACTTGGATTTAAACTTGGAGAGCGGTCAGTTTGGATGAGCTATTGCCAGCAGGAGAGTGAGTTTGTGTGTGTGTGTGTGTTCCAGGGTGTGGTGAGAAAGCCTGGATTTGTGCTGGAAATGGCCCACCTTGATTATCATGCACATTGTAGGGAGAGTGGTCACTTTGGATGAGCTATTACCAGCAGGAGAGTGAGTTTGGGGGGGGGGGGGCGGAGGGTGAGAAAACCTGGATTTGTGCTGGAAATGGCCCACCTTGATTATCATGCACATTGTAGGGAGAGTGGTCACTTTGGATAAGCTATTACCAGCAGGAGAGTGGGGGGGGGGGGGGCTGGTTTGTGTGAAATGGCCCACCTTGATTATCATGCACATTGTAGGGAGAGTGGTCACTTTGGATAAGCTATTACCAGCAGGAGAGTGAGTTTGTATGTGGGGGGGTGGAGGGTGAAAAAACCTGGATTTGTGCTGGAAATGGCCCAACTTGATGATTACTTTAGATAAGCTATTACCAGCAGGACAGTGGGGTGGGAGGAGGTATTGTTTCATGGTCTCTGTGTGTATATAATGTCTTCTGCAGTTTCTACAGTATGCATCCGATGAAGTGAGCTGTAGCTCATGAAAGCTCATGCTCAAATAAATTGGTTAGTCTCTAAGGTGCCACAAGTACTCCTTTTCTTTTTGCGAATACAGACTAACACGGCTGTTACTCTGAAAACTATTTCACTGATCAGTTAAAAACCCGCAAACCCCCTTGCACCAGCTAGAAGGGCCCATTCTGACCGTCTAGTCATGGAATCATAGAATATCAGGGTTGGAAGGGACCTCAGGAGGTCATCTAGTCCAACCCCCTGCTCAAAGCAGGACTAATCCCCAAGGTTTGCCCCGATCCCTAAATGGCCCCCTCAAGGATTGAACTCACAACCCTGGGTTTAGCAAGCCAATGCTCAAACCACTGAGCTATCCCTCCCCCCTCAGGGGGAGGGGAAGGGTGTCTCAAACACGTGGTCTGCGGAGCTTTTTCCTGTGGCCTGCCATAGCTCCCCTCACCCTCCGCCCCTCTGAGTGTGCTGTGTCCCGCTCCTCGCCTACCTCCCAGTGCTTCCCGTCACCAACCAGCTGTTTAGGACTTTCCAGGAGAGAGGGGAGGAGGCAGAGAAGAGGCGGGGCCGGGCGGGGATTTGGGCAAGGGTTTGGAATAGGGGCAGGGAGGGGGTGGAGTTGGGGTGTGGACTTTGGGGAAGGGGTTGGAATGGGAGTGGGAAGAGGTGGGGCAGGGGTGGGGCCTCACAGAAGGGGTGGAGTGGGGGTGGGGCCGGGGGCGGGGCTTTTGTATCTTTGTATGAAAAGGCGTCAGTGATGCAGCCCTTGGGGCAATGTACTAGTCCTCATGTGGCCCTCGTGGTGATTTGAGTTTGAGATCCCTGAGTCTGATGACTTGCATAGCTCAGGCAGAGAACCTGACGCAGGCCCATAGCATGTAACTAAAGAAGAGTATATTCTAGAAAGAAAGAATCCAGTTGTGGTTTAAAGACTGAAAGTGATGGAGAATTTCCCAGATGAATCCCAGAGAATTACCCTACTGTTGTGTAAAGCCTCCGCTCAATCCAGCAGAATGTGATTGTAAGATTTCAGAGTAGCAGCCATGTTAGTCTGTATCCGCAAAAAGAAAAGGAGTACTTGTGACACCTTAGAGCCTCAGTGAGCTGTTGCTCACGAAAGCTTATGCTCAAATAAATTTGTTAGTTTCTAAGGAGCCACAAGTCCTCCTTTTCTTTTTATTGTAAGATTTGTAACTTTTCAGTCATTGCTAGTCAAACGTTGTAATTTTTAATCATTGTTAGCATAGCCTTTTAAATTTTGTAATTTTTGCAAGTTTTGTAACCTTTTTAGTTACCACTTGTATAACCCCCAAGCTTTGCAATATTCCATTAGGGGGATCAGGAAGAGTGTGAACAAGGGAGTGTGTGTGGGAGATAAGGGAGTGTGAACAAGGGCGTGTATGTGGGACTGGGTGGAGAGGAACTGCAAGGAGAAAAGAGCCAGGAGCCAGGTGTTGTTATGCAGACAAAACTACACAGGATCGTTTTAGGGGACAAGACAAGATGTCATGTTTATTATAACACAATTTGATTTATGACCAATAACTAATATCTAATACCTTTGTATACACACCCACACCCACACCCAATGTTCTGCAGCTGCTGTATTGTTAACAGTCCTGAAAGTAGCTTGGGTTCGTTGCTTGTGGCGGCTAACTGGCCAGGAAAGCTGGGCATGAGGAAGGGCTGGGTCTCTGTTGGGCATGCACCCAGGCCCTTCCATGCTGGCAGCAGAATGTTACCCTCCAAAGTCTTCCATCTCATCCATCCTTTTTGTAGGCTTTAGTTTGAATCCAGAGTTTATAGGTCTTGCTGTGTCACGCTGCCTCTGGGTCTAGTGTGATCACCCGTCAATTGCAGTCATGACTTTCAGCCTGGGACCTGGCTTTGATGTTTCTTCAGTTGTACTTTTGTTCTTTTCTTTTGAGGGTGGACTCCTCTTACTTTGTCAGGGCTGTTGTCTGCATCTTCAGGGGTTGGTGTTTACACTTTATTTTATCAGGACGGGCTGGGGTTGGAGG